CGTACAACGAGGTGCCGCTAAAAAATTCAACTCATTTAAGTGAAATTTCAACTGTTTTCGTTTTTTTTTCACTGCAGCAGCTACTGGTGGACAGTGCTCAGCTCGTGGGACTAAGCAACATACATGTACGTAACGAAAAGGAGTGATACCTGTGATGCCATGTTACTGATTTTATCACCTTGCAAGTCCAGTGTATGCAACAGAGCATGTGCCAGTGTGTTCACCTGATACGCGACACTGGCAAGACTTTGCACTGTGTATCGCCTCGTCTCCTCCAACGCCGCTTTTTTATCGTGCGCCTGAAAACGCAGCACGTAATGTGCGGATCAGAGAAACCGGAACTGCAAAACATATGTTGCACTTTTTTTTCTCGTTGATTTGCTAGGTCAGAATTCGTCAATATCTAAAATGGATAATCATCGATTCCACTTCAACTGGACAGCGCCCCTGCTTTGGTGAGCAAACTTCGCAAAAAGTTATTTTTTTAAAAAAAATAACTTTTTTGAAAAACCTTTCTCTCTTAAAATCCTTTTCTTCCTCCTTTTTCCTCCTCGCCTTCTTCACTCCACTCTTAGTCCTAAACAGGTCGAAACGTTTTATCTCACTCTTACTTCCTTTTTTCATACTGTTCTTTTATGCTGTAATCAATCTATCGCGCCTTCGCTATTCAGGCCTGCAGGGTGAATCTGGTTACTACAAGCAGCCTAGCAATAACACAGACCCTGTATCAGTCTCAAATAAGGCTGAAAACACGTAACACTCACACTCTAGCGTTTTTGGGAAAATCGCTGGCCAGTCACCGATAGTGCGAATGGACAAAGATTGTGGAAATAAACTTGGGACCACTGTATTACAGCGAAAAAATAATTGGCCAACGCACGGGCTGCCCGTACGAAGATGCATTTTTTGCATAGCTCCCCGCAGATTTTTGTCGCTAACGGCACTGGTTTTTCCGGCAGATACTTCTAGCTAAAAGAATTTCAGACTGGCCGCCAGGACTGTCAGGAAACATTCCCTCAAAATCTCAGTCTTCTAGCTTCTCACTTCCCAAGTTAGCAACTTACCCGGAAGAAACTTTCAGGGGCCCGTACATAGGCACTGCGCTTACCCGCGGGCAGTGTTTGAACTCGTTAAATCCACTTGGACGGGGAACATTGCCCTAAGATTTCAGCGTTCTAGCTTCTCAGATCCCTGAGTTTTGAACATACTCGACAAAAATTTTGGCGGGCCCATACGCGGGTACCACGCTTATCTAGGGGATGGGTTTCAGTGCATTAACACCCACTTCGACGGGGAACATTGCCTTAAGATTTCAGCATTCTAGCTTCTCAGGTTCCCGAGTTATGAACTTACCCGAAAAAAATTTTGGCCGGCCCGTACGTGGGTACTACGCGGGTGTCGGCGCCCATTTTGAGATTGGGACCGGCACGTGCATGTAGATTAAGTTCCCGAAGTTTCAGCCCCGCAGTTTTTATTGGTCTTGAGACGAAAGTGCGTGACAGACGTATACACAGTCAACCCCTCGTCAATATGGGTTTTTGCATTGCATAGCTGTAAAAAGCGCACAAAAAGCGAAAGCCACAATGCAAAGCCGATGAAGAAAACGGAGAGGAGAGCGGTGGGGACGGGGGGGAGGGGGAAAGATTTTTGCGTGGAGTTGAAAGATTGCATACCTGCGCATAGTTCGCTTCACAGTAGGCGGCAACCCGTTCCAAGTTAGCACAGCTGTTTTCGAGATTTGCGCGTCCTTCCGGAATTAACGTTTCAATCAGGCTACGAAGTTCGGCCGCCTCTTCCTGGCTCTGAAGTGCCGCGTCATCTACCATTCCCATTTCTGCTGCTATATTTTTATATTATCCTGCTGAAATACACGGGTGCAAGAAGTAGCAACTGAAATAAATAGCAACGCGCACCAGACTAGCCGGTGCGA